CAAATACTGAACCCAGGGTTGGAGAACGGATGGTTTGCTGTTTCCCAAGTGGGGGTCCTGAGTCCCTATGGATTATGGATTTCCTAGCCTCCACAATCATGGGAGTCAGTCCTTTAAACCTCTTTCTCCGTCTCTCTTTTTTCCTGTCTCTATTTCTCTCTCTCTCTCCATATATATGTAAAATTGGTTCTGCTTCTCTGTAGAACTCTGACTAAAACAGGGATGAAGGCAGCTAGAAATGACTTGAAGAAAGAAATGTCTACAGTGGCCCTTCATGGCCTGTTCTAGGCTCAGGGTCAGAGCCTAGACGACCTCAAGGAAATGTCTGATGGGAATCAGAGTCGGGGGGAGCTGAGCTAATGGAGACAAGGCTTCTGTTTGTGGCATTCACATTTGGGGGGCCGGGTCAGCCCAGCCTGGCTGGAAGGCCGAGCGGCAGTGTACAACAGAGGCCTACACAGCACCTGTGGGCCACAGTGACGGCAGGGCAGGGCCACCGCGGGCCGCTCTGACAGGCAGCTGGGAGCAGGGCTATAGGTTGGAGAACAGGTGTGCATAGGGAGTAAAGACGATCACAGGAATTGGTGAGCTCTCTCTTCCTAACAAGGCAATCCTCTCTCTTGGTTCCGGCTATGGCTGGCGCTCTGCCACCCCCTGGACTCTGGATTCCAAAGGGCTGTTCCCAGGATGGAGCTGGGCAGCCAGGCCCGGAGACTCTGCAGGAAAACACTCCACAAACGTGTGTTGACCAAATTGATGAATGAATAAACGCCTGGAATGTATAAAATGCTTCAAAAAATTACTATCACATATTCTCTCATTTGATCCTCAAAGAAAAAGCCATGAGAGTGAAGACGTAATATACTGTGCTCATCTCAATGCTGTGACAACCTAGATTAGGTCACTTGCTCTAAGTCACAGTAACTCAAAGTGTCAGAGTTAGAACTTAAATCCAGTATCTTTTTTTTTTCCTTTCAGTTTCTTGTTTGGGTTTTTCCCCCCATTAGACCAGTTTGGCTCTTCATCATATTCATGAATTAAATTATGGTAACAAAGGGCCTTGTCACTTTCTGACCTTTCCTCAAAGGCACAGCGTCAGGGAGAGAGCTGCCGAAGGAGCACTCCCTCCTGTCCTGCCAGCCGCCTGCTGCTGCCCGAGAGAGGGTAGCTCAGCAGTGGGTGTCTGGTCTAAGTGCTTGAAGGCCTCGATGGAGGAGCTGCAGGGAGTGACAGACCCGCTCTCAATCACACCAGCATCAGCCTAAGATGTCACATGAGCTTGAGGACTAAAATTCCTACCCAGGTACCACCAATTTATTTCCGACCTCGACTGGAAACTAGGGCTGAAAGGATAATTGGGAGAATTAAGGAATAAAAACTGGAAAAAAGCTGGAGATGAAGAACTATGTAGGGTAATTACTTGAACGGCAGGTTATTGGAGGGAAGGGACAGGAAGTGGCTGTGACAGGCATGTCAGCTCTGATGAACCGGTTGTGAGCACTGCTGAGCTGTGTGAGAACCCTTCTCAGGCTGAGTCGGGGCCTGGATGGAGGGCTGTGGTGTCCGTTGGCAATTCCTGCTGTTGGCTCAGGTGCACAGCGTGGGAACGTTTGAGCCATGTCAAGCGTTTGGCTCCTGGTGTAAAGCTTGTGAAAGAAAGGTAAAAGGAATCAAGGATCTCAAAGTCAAATGCATGTCAAAAAGCAAGAATTAAATAAGGTGGTCTGAAGTGAGGCATTAGCAGCAAGAGAGATTTGCCACAAACAGCATGTAGGCTCGATAAGGAAAGAATTCCCTACAGAGGAGACTGGGGAGGCACCTCCACAGAGCGAGGGCAGCCGTTATCCACACGGCCAGGGCAAGCTGGGGAGGAGGGTAGGAGTGCTCAGGTGAGACTCTTCAGGTGGTTCAATTTTACCTGAAGACCAGAAGCCAACGTCACCAGGTGGGGATGAAGGCCAGGTGCAACCCCCACCCCCCAGCATCAGGGTCAAAGAGGTCTGGACCAGGAAAGTCCTGCTAGTGGCCTCTCTGTACCCCGATTCCTCATGCCAGGCCCCAGCCCCGATCACCAAAAGCTCCCAGTGATCTCCAGAAGTTCACTGAGATGCAGGAGGCAGTCTTGCCAGGTAGGCCACACAGCCAATGCTTTGTCAGAGGATGAACATCTGGACATGCGCAGAGGAGGCCCGAGGAAAAGGAAGTCTCGAACTGTGTGGGGTGTGCGTGCGTGCACACCGGCACGCCACTGCCCAGCCTGGCTTCTAAGTGCAGACTAGGCCTTTGGTAATCCCTTCTGCTGCTCAGCCTCCCTCGTACACCAGCCAACCAGCAAAACACAGCCCCCATTCTGCTCAGGAATGTGCTTTCGGAAACTTAATCTAACTGCTGAGTCTGGGCCAAATGCCCCATGGCATTAACCCAAAGACAGCACCCCTTTTTCCCGCCTCTCCTGCCTTCCCGCTGCCTCCTCCAAAGTGGGAGGCTGCAGTCCCACTCCACCGACTCCCTGTTCTCCATGACACAACCCCTCCACGCCCGTTCTCCCGGTTTCCAGAACCTCTCCGTCCTTCTCGTCAGGCCCAAACATTTCACTTCTGATTCATGTCTAAATGACAAGCCAATAGCTCTTGGCTTTCAAACAAGACTCAGTTGGCTTCTGCACAAGCCCCTTCTTCTCTTGCTGTGCCTTCTTGGGTTGCAACCAAACCCTTCCCTTTGTCCTCACTGCCAACTGCAGATCCCTTTAAGCGTTAGAGAAGAAGTGGCCAGGAATTTTTTTTTTTAATAAAGCTATAAATTGTCTTCCCTCACACAGATACACCTTGAAGTACAAGGAGGGCTCCAAAGCAAACCTCCTCCTCTCCAGCTCTCCCCTTCTCCAAACAATGAAAGGCTCAGCCTGGCTCCTAATTAGGCCAAGTGAATGGTGATGGCGTTTTTGCGCTTCACAGACATGTGCTGACCATTTGCAGATGGACTCTCCCTCCGAGATGAGCAGCATTATCCTTCAAAGGCACCAATGCTGCTAAAAAGCACATCTTATTTGTAAGAACGGACAACTGGGAGCAACCTGACTGGTGATGGGAAAAGGGTTCGGTGCCTTTTGGTGGATGTTCCCGGGCCATGGGGGACGACGATCCCGCTCTGGTTGGGGTGGGGCAGGTGAGCTGGGAAGGGGCACGAGGAACCTGCTGGAGTGATGGCACACGGTGTGGACGTGTGGAAACCGCGCCAGGTTGTCACGGAACATTAGCGCACTTCATGTGCTTTACCGGATGCATTTAAATAAAAAAGACAAAATTAAAACGGTCACATGGCCAATGCAAAATGCTTGTACCATGTCAAGGGGAAGAGGAGAAAAGGTAGAGACCACATGTCCAGTAGTCAACAGTGCAAGATGTGGGTCTGGAGAAATGCTGGGAGGGTGTGCTCCAAAATGATAATAGTGGTTGTGTGATGAGGGCTCAGGAGAAACACTGTTTTCTATAGATTCCAAACTTTCTATAATGTAATTTAACTATAATTAAAAATATAAAGGAGGAGTATGATGGTAGGAGGTGGAGCTCTGACCTCAACCTTTCCTTTCATGAAGAGATGGCCCCTCCGCACCCTCCCTGTCCTCACCCAAGTCTCCTGCGCCCTCCAATCACCCACAGCTCGGCTATGAGCCCAGGGCCTGCTCCCCCGAGGCCGGCACGCAGATCCACTGGTGCTCCTTCTGCCACAAAGTGGCTCTCATGGAGGCTGGGGAGTGGCTCCCAGATGCAGCCCAGGCTGCTGGGCCTGGCCCCTGAGGGAGACGGGGACCCACCCTGCCTTCCTCCTTTCTGAGAAACGGGCAGGGCTGCTCCACTGTTCCCGTGGAGGGCAGCCCCTCAGGGAACTGGGAGCCAGAGGGAGAGAAGGGTCTTTCCTCCTCTGCTCTTCTGCTTCCCCACCCTCATCGCTCTCCTCCCAGGGCTCACACCGCCCAGGGCCCCAGGCGTGACCCACGGCCTCCTGGACATCTCACCCAGCAGGGTGGCGATGGTGGTGATGTGGAAGCCCAAGGCAGGGCTGCCAGGGAGAAGGGGGCACTGCTGAGTGAGTCACAGGGGAGCAAGCTCTGAAGATCTCAGTTTACACCCAGACCCCACTAATCTCAGAGTTTCCCCATGCCCTACACTTCAGGCTCCAGGAAAGGGGGGTGGTTTTTCATATAGCCCGGCTCCAGACCTGGCACATAAGAGTAGGGGTGGGGGTGGGGGCTCTCCAGCCTCGGACGTTTATTTAATCAGTCAAGTCTCATTTGCCACGCGTGCAGTGGGTAGCAGACCAGGTAAGGTGCGTGTGGTACCTGGGTCAGAGTAGACCCGAGTGGCGATTACATGTAAGAGTAGCATGAAGTCCTCTCCTGGCAGCCTCCCTGGACCAAACCATCACCTGATCTCTTCCTCCTTTCTCTTCTCTTGAGCCCTTTGTCGTGCAGCTTCCTTTCCATTGTGTGCTGCTGTTTACACCCCAGGCATCTGTATAATGTGCGTGCCCCTCAGAGAGAGGCAGGTGGCCAGGAGTGGGGTGGGCAGGCTCTGTTCAGCCCACACAGAGCCCTGTCAGTGCTCCGACAGCAGCCGCAGTGAGGATGGAGCTCGGAGGACAGTGAGCAACTGGCACAACCACCTAAACCCACAGAGTGACCAAGTGGAAAGGCAGGGCCTGGCCCAGCTCTGGGGCCACAGAAACAGCTCATCCATGTCAGGTTCTCTCCTTCTGGACACTCAGCCCAGACACTCGTGTCCCCTTCTCGCAAAGTGGCTTCGCAAGGCACACGCCCCGCCCCTGGGACTGCTGGGCAGCTCCCACAGGCGATTCTACATTTCACTGATCAAGACCCCTTTATGGTAAGACTAATGACAGGGGATAGGAATGGTGAGGGGGCGAGGGCAGAGAGACCAGAGAGACTGGGAGAGAGGAGGAGAGACCGCACCACGGCCGGGGAGCAAAGGAGCAGCACTCACTGGCTAGTGTCACTGTGGCTGGCACGCTGGCCACGGCCCCCGCAGGCATCCGGGCCACACACTGGTACCGTCCCACGGTGCGGTTGTTGAGGGCGGTGATGACCAGCGTCCCGCGGGTGATGAGGACGCCCAGGGCATCATCGGAACCGTTCAGTTCCCTCCCGTTCAGGCGCCAGGTGGTGCTCATCCCCGGCGGCTCCACCACGCAGCCCAGGATCACAGTTCCCCCGAGCTTCTGGACCGTGGAGGGGGGCTGCACGGTGACCTGAGGCACCTTGTCTGCAAGAAGAACAGATGCAGCCATGAAGTGACACGCTCAGGGCTCCAGCAGCAGGACCTTTGAGAAGCGCAGCACCGGGCAGCCTTTCAGAGCCGAGCAGCCAGAGGAGCGGATCTTTCTCTGAAGACCAGGGTGCCCTCCCCAGCCGGTGCTCAATCCAGAGGGCAGAATGGAGTGGCCGTGGGTGCAAAGGCGGGCACGTAGGTTTGGAGTTGGACAGACCTAAATCTGAATCCCAGTCCCACGCTTCTGAGCCATGTGACTTTGGCCTTGTTGGGCCTCAGTTTCTTATCTGTAAAATGGGGCTAATAATACTTCCCACAGGGCTGCTGTGAAGCTTGCAAACATGTAAACTCCCTGCCATAATCTCAAATAATAAGTGCTCAGAACAAGGCAGTTACTACTGTTGTTCCTCCTCCTCTGGTGTGGCTCGGAAACGATTAAAATGCCCAGCTATGAGCCCTGTGATGTTGCAGGGATCATTTCTCATCTTGCGTTACTGAGCGTGTCCCTGAACCAGGGGGAATGAGTGCTCTTTCAAATCCTGAGGGAGGAAGGGCTTCTGAAAGGGCGGTGGTAGAATGTGCAACGCTTCTGTCTGACATTAAGGGGCAAGTGTTCTCCCAAGAGGGGCAGGCGGAGAAAGGGAAGGGCAGACTCACTCAGGTCAGCGAAGCAGCCGGCTGTGGCCAGGAAGAGGCAGGTGAGTGTGACCGCGGGCCTCCTTCCTCTCTGAGTCGTCATCGTCCCACGCGGCAGGTGTGTGACAAAGGGTCCGACGCCAACGTCCCATAAGCCACCAGTCACTCCCAGAGATTCTGCAATCCTCTACAGCACTCTGGAGAGAGAGAGAGAGAGAGAGAGAGAGAGAGAGAGAGAGAGAGAGAGAAGGCCATGGTGAGAAGGCCTGAGATGCCCACGTGTAAGCCAGAGCCTGGTTGGTCCCCGCACCCCCTGCTTCCATCAGACACGCCGGACACGCCGAGTGCTGGCCTGCTGTGCTGCTGGAAGGCCCAAGAACACGCTCACGCCATTTCTCATCCAAAAGATGCTTCAAAGTTACCCCCACCTGGAGCTAGAAGGTGGCTGTGTGACGGTAAGAATGCGCAGCTACAGCAGCAAGGACAGGGGCCAGGACACGGCAGTGAACACCCAGCACAGACGCCGGTACCATTGCTTGCAGGAGGCCGGAGGTCTGCGGCCACGTGCCACTAGCACAGACCACGGCGGACAGCGCTGCGACCCTACCGTGCGTCGGAGCCCCTTGTTTAGGGTGCTGGCAACCGAGTCCTAAAGTCTCAGGGACTCACCAAAGTGGCAGGTTCCCTTTCTCCCCAACCCTATCCCTGCATCTCTGTGAACTTTTTTTTATTCTTGGAATCAACCTACCTGCCTCAGCCTGTCTGTAACCTCTAGTCCCACAACATATAAAAGTCACATGTCGGCCAAGGCCCCACCTTCTCTCCCCTGGTGCTGGAATTCTGGCCTTTTTATTTCCACAAAATCTGCACTCCTGATGACTGAGGGACCGGGCTGCCTGTCCGCCCAGAACAACATCCCTGCAGGCTCTAGCCTTCACTGCACCTCCAGCCGCCGGACGGTCCCGCTCAGCTCCCAGCCACCCTCTCACCGCCTGCCTAGGACTTGAACTCCTCCCTGCCACAGTGTTATATCTTGGAGCCCTCCTTTAAGCTACAGGCCTTGAAAGACGCATCAACATCACCGAGAGGCGGGTGTACGCGCTCACACACACTTCTGTCGCAGCCTAAACCACAACGTTGCTTCCACGCTTTCCACTGCTGCACTTACAGCACATTAGGCCAAGAAGGAAGGTGGGTGGACATCCTGGTTGGGCAGGGAGGCCCTGGAGTGAGCTTCAGAGAACAGTGAAGGCAACATGCAGGCCATTGACAGTGGATGCAGCGTCCTGAATCACGCACAGGTGGGAATACTAGGAGTCATTTCCAGGAGGGTGACAGACACAATGTGAACCCTCCTAGACCAGTTTATCTAACCAACGACTCTTCCAAAGACTCGCCGTCACCACCGAAAGCTCAGGGAAGGAGCGGCGCTCCCCAGCTGAGCGATGCCTTGTGTGCACCAGTCTGGAGCTCTGGTCTGGAGCTCTGGCTGCCTGCGCAGTCAGCTGCGGGAGCCGGTGCTCAGCTCTTCAACCACCATCACTCGGGACATGACACACGGGATGAAGGCTGGGCTTCGGGCTCTTGCTCTGTGCTAGGGGTTTGCCTAAACCTCTCCCTTCTCCAAGCTCCTTTGCCCTGGGCTTTCCCTCTGGCTGCTGGAGGCAAGAGGGCACATTGCTCTGCCCAGCAAGCACCTCCAGACCAGACGGAGGACCAGCCCACACTTGCTCTGAATGTTTTCCAAGAAGGAGTTCTTCCCCTTTGCCTCTTCATCCCTCCCTTTGCCTTGTGTCTTCCACATCGGAGACTTCTCCTTCGCTCTGGGAAAGGACAAGGGCACATTTTCTATAAAAGGTTTGAAAGAAGCTTTTCAAGAGTATTTTCTTGACAAGATAAAATATTTTCCTCTTGGTATTGAGAGAGCTTTTGCTTTTTTTTGCTTTTTTTTTTTTTTTGACAATCCAGTAAACCAAAGGGTCATGTTATTAGCAAAGTGAAATTAAGGACATCTGCAAAGGATGTGAATGGAGGTGGCTGGGGACAGGTGTGAGGAGGCGGGGGCGTGGGGCAGGCCTGCTCTCACTATAGGGTCCTTGCTTAGTTCTCTTGCGGGAGGTATTTTTTAAATCTTCATAAAAACACTATAAAGTGGGGAGTGTTATCCCCATCTTACAGGTGAGAACACTGAGTTCCAGGGGTTAGTTCACATAACTGCAGGCCTGGAATGCAACCCAGCTCTGTGCTCTTAACCACAATAGTAGCTTTTTCACACATTTTCTTTTTTAAAAAAATATATTTTTTTTATTGATTTCAGAGAGAAAGGAAGAGGGAGGGAGGGAGGGAGAGAGAGAGAAACATCAATGATGAGAGAGAATCGTTGATTGGCTGCCTCCTGCACATCCCACAGAAGAGGCTGAGCCCTGGCTGGAAGTTGAACCGTGACCTGCTGATTCATAGGTCAACATTAAACCACTGAGCAACACCGGTTGGGCCTTTTCACACATTTTCTGTCAGTACCCTGCACCCAGTGGGTGCTTAACGGAGTTAGAATATAGGTGATGTAGAACAGTGAGGAATTTTAAGTTATTTCTAGAGAAAAGTTCTATACCAAAAAAGCAAGCTTTGGGTGTCCTCTAAATTTTCCAGATACTTGTTTGAATTGCCTCCTTTCCATCAAACGAGACAACATATTTATCTAGAACACTGCATGGATTGCCATCGTAGGAATTTAGGGAATGTGATTGCTCATGACGCCCTCATTTCCTCCATCCCTTAAGGACTTTGGGGACACCTGTTCCTTCCCTGCCCCAAGGAAGGGAGGAAGAATGGAAGGAAAAAGGGAAGGAAGGAAGAAAAGCTGGGAGGCAGAGAGGCAGGGATGCAAAGTAATAAAGGGCAAAAAAGAAGACCAGCAGACAAAGGGGCGGGAGGGCTGGCTCGCATCTGAGCACAGGGTGGCTGCGGAGGTGTTTGGGTTGTAAAGTCCACAAAGGTTTTACTGAGGAAATTCAGCTCTGACCCCCTCCTGCTTAACAAGGACCAGCCAAACAATCCCTGTTACTTCTGCACCCTCGGTAATTTATAAGGTTCAAACTGGAAACAGACCCCACTGCTGCCGCCTGCCCGCCACCATCCTGCCTTTAAAAGCAGCAAGGAGAAAAGAATGCCGCTGGGGAGGGAGAGGTGAGAGGAAGCAGGTACCCAGAGGAGCAGGAAGGAGTTAACTCATTAATCCCCACACCAACTTAAGAGCAGGTACCATTTAATGACCCCAAGGCAGGACACCGTGAGGTTTCCTTCATGCAAGAGCAGGGCTGTGACACACATATGGGACCGGGCAGGGGGCCCTGGAACCACGATACCTCTTATCTAACAGCTGGGAAACGGGGTTACTTCCTGAACCAGGATACCGAGTGAGTTTAGTCTAGAAAGGTCATTCCAAAGCGACAGATTTCTGAGCACTTGGCTTTAATGAGTAAAAAAAGGCCAGTAAGGTTCATTGGAGTACGATCTGCAGTGTAACTCTGCCCCACTGTGAAATGATCAAGGTACAATTTCAAAGTTGCAACAGTAAGGCCTGGCATTTTTCCCAGCAAAGCAAGGTCTGTCTAGAAGATCCTTATTTTCTATGCAATTTCTCAGAAAAAGAGGAGAGACCAAGATAAGAGTCAAAAAGCAGAGAGAAGGGAAAATGAATTCTTGACATGAGTTCCTCCCTGAGGCTTAAGTACTTGCTTTTTAAAGGGTTACTTGGACACGAAGCATCAAACATGTCTGAGAAGTTTAACTGCTGACACACGTGTTCCCACTGATACAAGCTCCTCCAAGCAGACGTTTTTGAACTTTCTAAAAACAACAATAGAATACACTTCTGAGGCTGAGAACGAGCATGAGAAATTATAGCCTCAGTATTTATTTTGCAAGAAAATCACAAACAACTGAGAGCTGATCATGGGCAGGAGGTGGCCAGCGCCAACTTCCCCAGAGGGTGGCTGGCTGGCCGGAGTGGGAGTGAGACTGCAGTTCAGGGGCCACCCTGGGTCACATGGGCCATGCCGCTCTCTCAGAAAGGGGGGGCTCCGTGGCTAACACAAAAAACACGCCTTTGGATGGACCGTGACCTATAGCCAAGAAGAGCTGAAACATTCAGTGGCAAGAAACGGATCTGACAAAAATGTTGTTCCATTGGTTGGGAGGGGCTAGCTACGTAACATTTCTAAGCCCAGATGACATTTTTTGCACGTTCCCAATTCCATAGTGGAATTCACCTTCCCCACTACCTTGGAAGGCAGAGAGATTTCCTCCCAGATGGTGATGCCAAGTGGCAGCGTGCCTGCTGCGTGCCTGCTGAGTGCTGGCGGCCCCACCCCCACCCTTTGCCTCAAGAAAGAGGGGGTGCTCCTGCACAGAGGAGTGGCATTGGGGGGAAATCCTGGGGAAATGAGTGAATTCTCAGAGGGCTGGACATGTGAGTTTAGATAGACTTAGGAGAAGGATTTAAAAAGTCATTTTTACTGCTCCACTGGCATGGCTCAGTGGTTGAGCGTTGACCTATGAACCAGGAGGTCGCGGTTCAATTTCCGGTCAGGGCACATGCCCGGGTTGCAGCTCGATCCCCAGTGTGGGGCGTGCAGGAGGCAGCAGATCAGTGACTCTCGTTCATCAACGAGTTTCTATTTCTCTCTGCCTCTCCCTTCCACTCTGAAATCAATAAAAATATATTTTTTAAAGTCATTTTTACTTAAAAAAATTGTATCCACAGACCTAATTAAAGGGAAACATTCTAAATTAGGAGGGACCCTCGGAGAAAACACAGTCATAGCTCATGGGTATTGAGTGATCTGAGGAAAGAGAGCGATTTGCAGGTGTCCCAGCTGATTAGGAAGGAGACACAGGGGTCCAAGTCGGGTCTCCCTCTGGGCCAGCCCTCTTCCCGCTATCCTGACACTGCCTCCCTGGGGTGGGGTTAGCCAACTGCTAGAACTGCTTTTAAAACTCAGTTTACAGTGTTTCTGAACTTACTTTCTTATGCATAAAAATAATGTTATCTGGATCATTACCCATCACAATAACTATCTGTGTGGTCACTGTCATCCTTTTACCATTTACACCCTAATCTACAAGCTCTCATTGCTCCTTCCACAAACTCCTCCAATGGAATGTTCTGCATTGGTGAAGATGCTCTGCATCTGTG